AAAATTTAAGTCAGAATCAGCTCAAACTTTCTACACAGCATAAGGACATCAATATGTATCAGAAAATGTAATAAAAATTGGTGGTCATTTTTTAGCCATTTTTTGGAAAAAACCATGGACTATAGCCTTGGGTATTTTTCAGATTTTGGCATATTTCTTTAAATGGCCGTAACTTGAAAAATTTAAGTCAGAATCAGCTCAAACTTTCTACACAGCATAAGGACATCAATATGTATCAGAAAATGTAATAAAAATTGGTGGTCATTTTTTAGCCATTTTTTGGAAAAAACCATGGACTATAGCCTTGGGTATTTTTCAGATTTTGGCATATTTCTTTAAATGGCCGTAACTTGAAAAATTTAAGTCAGAATCAGCTCAAACTTTCTACACAGCATAAGGACGTCAATATGTATCAGAAAATGTAATAAAAAATTGGGGGTGATTTTTAGCTATTTTTTGGAAAAAACCATGTCTCGTATCATCTCTGATGCGAGGCTTTCTATTTAAGCTATCATATACCCACTATTATTATTATCACATTATTATTATTACTATTGTACTATGCGTTTAGTTCTTGTGTTATTTTATTATTAGGCTAATTTATTTATTATTATGTTCTTTTGTGTAAGTTACCGTATCTTTTTCAATGAGATTTGAGGGTGATGACCCGATTTAAATGGGCTATAGCCTTCGGTATTTTTCAGATTTTTGGCATATTTCTTAAAATGGCTGTAACTTCAGTTCAAACTTTCTATTCATGCACATGTGGAACAGCAAAAGTTTAATAATAAATTAAATTGTTTAATTATTTTATGTACTATCAGTGCAGTGGAAGAGTCTTATACTGAAACATGGCGGTCATGTTACTGATGGATTTGACATGAGCTCATTAGCTAAAGTATCAGACGGATACACTCCAGGACACATGATCACTGCAATAACACAAGTACTCACTGAAAGAAGAATACAACAAGTAATAATAATAATAATAATAATAATAATAATTTTAATATAATTTCTTTTTGCTTTCTCTTTAGCTTCGTAAACGTCCATTGACTACAGCAGAATTTATTCCTTTTCTTGCTAAAATTGATCCGATTTATAGAGAAGAAGAGGAAGCATACAAAGTAAATCTATTATTAGAACTGTTTAGGAACCTTGTTACTAAAAATTAGTATGTAGTAATGTAGGAGCTTTGTTAGTTGTTACTAAAAATAG